CACACACACACACACACACACACACACACACACACACACACACACACAGAGCCCAAGTGAGTCAGTGTTAAAATTGAATCCATAATAAATCAAGAAAAGGAGCCACAATAATAACATAAATGTAATAATCATATAAAATGTAATCAGAGATAAGGTGATATTTGTAGTTTTACTAATTTGGTGTTAGTTGTTGATTCTGATAATATTCTTATATACCTTATTTAAGTGTGAAATAAAGAGAAATACAATTTCATTCAATGAACAACATGAACTAATGTACCTGAATAGAGTGAAAAGTGCCCGGAGAGTATTTTTCATTGTGCTCAAAGGAAAATGACACTGAATCAGTGTGTCTTTCTAGAACCATTGCCCCAGTTACTCTGAATAATCCACACAACACGCAGAGACTTTTTGCTGAAAAAAATAGTTCCGATAGTTCTGAGAGCCAAAGTTGACGTCTTCAAAAGTCTTGTTTTGTCCAACCAACAATCCCAACATTTTTCCCCACACACACAAAAAGGCATCAAATCTTATGCTTCATTTTCAGTTGATCAGTGCAGATAAAAAATCTAATTCTCTGCAGTACAGTACAGTAGATACAATGTTTTTGTTTTGAGCAAATCAACCTGGCAAGGCTTAAAAAACATTTTTATACTGAAACTTTTGACAAGAAAGGGAAAGACGGAGAGAGAGATGGTGGGCGAGTCTGCACAGTAAATATTTACACTGGGAAGAATTCATGTTTGTGTGCAGCTATTGAGTACGAACAAAAATGACAACTAAATTGCTAACAACGCTGTTTGGCAGTGTTTTAATGCTATATTTACTGTTTTCATTGGGGCTACTTGACACTGCAAATCAAACACACCAATGTTCACTTAGTGCCTTGTTACAAATTCATTTGTCCAATCATTTTTCAAACCATAATGCACGTATTTTATTTATTACAAACTTGCAATCACAAGCAGCCTGAAAAGAACACATTTTTTGGCGCACTGAGCACCACAAGTCCAGTTTCATGTAGTCCCATTATTTTGGAGAGAAGAACTGTACCTTTAAACAACAGCCAGTTTAAAAAGATTTTAGGTGGTGAGAAAAATCTCTTACACTGAGAGTCAATGACTGTAAGAGGTTTTATAACAACACATTATCACCTGCCTGTTCCCTACAAAGACCTAATTACAAAACTTGCTTGCGGACAAACACACACACACACACACACACACACAAACAGGACATCTGCTCCTACATCAAACCACACTTGTGTCCATCAACGGATAATCATCAACACACACCAGTGCACTCAAACATAACATATGAACACAGACAGAGATGCACAAAGATGCACATAGACACACACACACACACACACACACACAAAAGAGGTGTGTGGCTGCTGCAAATTTACCCAAATCTGATTCCAGCATGTGTTTCACTGTGATGACTATAAGCAAGGAAAAACTTGTTCTCTCTCTCTCAAATGCATGCACACACACACACACACACACACACACACACACACACACACACACACAC